CACCACAGCACTGGCCCCAGGGTCCACATTTGTAACAAGTTTGCTGGGGCCAGCGCTGTGCTATAGCACGAAAAGTTGCTGCCTGTGGCTCCAGCATCCTATATGGCTACCGGTTCGAGTCCCGGTTGCTCTATTTCTGATCAAGCTCCTTGCTAATCTGCCTGGGAAAGCAGCAGAAGATGGCACAAGTTCTTGGGCCCCTGCACTCAGGGGGAGACCTGGAAGAAGCTTGTGGGTTCATCCTGGCCCAGCCCAGCCATTGCAACCATTCGGGGTGTGAACCAGTGGATGGAAGATCTCTCTGTCTCTGTCTCTGACTCTCTAACTCTACCTTTCAAATAAATAAATAAATCTTAAAAAAAAAATACCAATTTGCCAAGGCTACTCGGTTTTTAATAAGTTCTCCAAAGAAATCTTCTGCATGGTAAAGTCTGAAAAACCACAGGAGTAAATTGTAAGCTCCTTGAAGCCAATGCCCTGTTCGCCTCATGTGCCCCTTTGACGGCTAACAATGCTGGGATCTAGCTTTTGCTCGGTGAATTCTCAGAATCAGAGAGCTGCAGAGTTGAGAGAACACTTGGGTTCGTCTAGTCCAGCGCTTAACAAACACTGGGCATCTTGTTAAAAATGCAGATTTAGACTCAGCAGGCCTGGGGAGGGGCCTGAAATCCTACATGTCTAATAAGCTCCAGAGGCCGCTGGTGGTGCTAACGTGGCAACCACACTTTCAGCAGCAAGGGACTAGTCCAGGGACCAGATTTTTCTGCAAAGACCTAGAGAGTAAATTTGCTTTGGGCTTTGTGGGCCCTGTGATCTCTGTCCAACTGTTCAACTCTAAGGTCGTGCTATGAAAGAGGCATAGGCCATATGGAAACACAAATGGCTATGTTCCAATAAAGTCTTATTTACAAAAACAGGAAGCTGGCAAGATTGACCTGACGGTGTGGTTTGCTGACCCCTGAACTAGTCGGTCCACCTATGTTGGTTGTGGATGATTGATACACAGCTATCCTGAGAAAGGTTCCCTTCCCCCACTTCCCACATTCATTAAACCGGATCCAACTCAGGGAAACCAAAATCAAGTTCCTATGCACAGACATTGTTTCCTGGCTCCACCATGTCAGTCCAGCTTCCACGCCATTTCCTTCCCACCCCGTTCCTCCCTGTAAAACAGATCCACTCAACCTGCCGCACACTCACAGAGAGTCCCACCGAAATGCCGATGACGATCACCCTCTTCTTCCCCGCAGCCACCTAGGAGAGGAGGAAGTGCCGGGTGACGGGTGGCACACACCCATTGTGTGCCGACGTCAGGGCCAGCACCAGGGCAGGGAAAGGCTGTGGCTGAATGTCGGGGTTTTTATGTCCTGTGAGGAGGAACAGCTAGGGGTCTCTGGTTGAGTATCGGTGGGAAGCACAGACCTTCTTCAGTTCCTCAATCCCATGTAGAGCACTGTCTTCTGTCCCCTCTCTAGAGGCCACCACAGACCTAAGAGGACAGAGTCAAGGTCAGTGATACTGGCTGGGAAGAGAAGCATATGGTTTCTTGAGGCAGGCAGGCAAGAGAAGAGAATGAGGGAAAACTATCACTGAACAAGCAACCACTGATGGCTGGTCACCATGATAGATACTCCACAGAGTCAAAAAAAAAAAAATTCAAATAACTACAAGCAGTAGTCAGGCGACATTAGTGTGTGAAGTGAGCCCAGTGTAAGGCAATAAGGAGTGGTGGGGACCAGGGTAAACTGAATGTGAACTCTTATTGAAGACGTTCAAATTCAATTTCTAAAAAATACTATTCTGGTGAAATAAAATACTCCTGGGTCATCTCGCTCACCTGTCACCTCCTGCAATGAGGTAGGTGTAAAGAGGTTTCTGTCCGAGGCCTCTCATCAGCTGGTTAAAGGAAACCTGTCAAAGGGCAGAGGCCGGGAAGAGGTAAGGATCACCAAGGAACAATTGTTGTGGAGTTTCAACTCCTAGAAGGCATAGGTTGCATAATGGCTGTCTTCATCCAGTCCTGCTTGCAATCCAGCACTTAGAAATGCTATCTGGAGATGATTAAGTGGGGGCCCATGAGATTTAGAGAATTGGCAATGGACTGGTAGGGCTGGGAAAGGCTGAGAAGAAACGAGACTCCGCAGGGAGATGCAGCTTTTGGAGACTAGAGAGAGCGAGCCAGTCCCAGAGTCCAGGTTGAGGGAGGGGTGCACCTGGAAGCCTTGCTATGATCAACTTCCTAGTCCCATAAAGTCATCCCCAGAAGGGGGAGGAAGGAAAAGCAGGCACCGGGGCGCTCACCGACATGAGGAATGCCATCCGGCCAGAAGTGCCTCCTCCACTCAGCACCACCAGCCCCCCGTCAGGCTCCTAAGGAAGGAATCATCCCTAGGTCAGTAACAGAAGAGGAACTGGAAGGTCTCCTTATCCTTCCTTTCATTGCAAAATTGAACAGAACACAGGCTGTTGGTGTAGCAAAAAGAACCCTCGACTCAGGCAAGAAATCTCAGTTTGACTTAGCTTAGCTACTTATTCAAAGCCTTACTTATCCCAGACAGGACTGAAGACAGCTTTGTCATCTAAATAAAAACAAATGATGAAAGCAGCAGCATCCATCAATTATTAGCTAATTGTATTTGGGCAAGCTACTGTGATTATCCTTCCTAAGTCTTTCTCATTAAAAAAAAAAAAATACAGGCAGTAATGCCAAGTCTGCAGGTTCGGGGAAGGTAACGGCTATGAACGCGCATTGCCTATTTTAGTGTATGATGGAGAGAACGGTTATTATTATAATCATTCCTGATTAAGAAGATGACAACAAGGATCCAAAAGGGAGGACTGGCAGAGGGGGCCAACTGAGAGCTATAAAAGTGAGAGATGGAGATCGCTCCCCCCAGAGAGAGAAAGTTACGGGGCAGGAGGTGGATGGAGGGACGGTACCTTCAGCACTTCCTGAACTTTCCCAGCCACTTGTGCCATGGTGGTCAGAACTGACTCGCTGTACAGTCGCTGTGGGGGACAGGTAGGTAGCAATCAGAAGCCAAGGGAAGGAGGACAGCGGGTGGGGGTGGGGAGGGCTCTCAGGGCTTCTAAAATCAGGAGCAATGGTCTGGGAGGGCAGAGGTTGAGGTGGGCTTAGGGTTAGGGTTGGCATCTTGATTTGCCTTTCACAGGGGATGGGTCTGGGTCACCTGGTACGTGGGCACGACTTGCCCCTCCTCCTGGAAGATCTCAGCATCACATTGCCCCAGCAACTGAACAATTCTCTCTGCATCTGCTTTGTCCAGGTCTCGGGTCAGTGGGTTTGACTTCTCTGTGATTGGCACAGCAGCCTCATACCCAGACAACTAGGAGGAAGGGGAGACAGAGATGGAGGCTAGATGTTAAAGTCTGCTGAACAGGAGGTGGGAGTGGTGGCAGGCACAGTGTTAGGATTCTGCACACACACACACACACACACACACGCCAGGAACTTAGTCTGCACTTGGGCCTCTGCACCTGCTAGGAAAAAAGATCAAACAGGAAGACAGGAGGGCAGAGGAACTGAGCAAAAACCTCGGGTAGAGGGAAATCCAGATGAAAGGTGATCCTTGGAGTCAGTGAGAAGGCCAACATGGAGAAGGGGGTCTCACCTCCCACTCGCCAGGCTCCGGGGTCTCAATCACATGTTGAAAGCGTTTCGTGCCCGGCATGGTCCCGTCCTGTGGGCACCCTGTCCTGCCTGCCTCTTCAGCCACGCAAACTCCACTGGTGGCAATGACCACTTCCAGCTGGCAGGGCCTTATCTGAGCTACAGCGATGATTAACCCAGGGACTCGCCTCTCTGAGCGCCACCCCCTGCACCTCTGCCCAGTCACTAGGCCCCCAGGTGGCTGGCAAGCCCAGGGGAGTTCCCGGGCCTCCCCTTCACAAGCTCCCCCGACTCGCCAGCCCTGGCCGTGGCCCCTGAAGTCCCACTGCTCTTGCCCATCAGGTACAATGGCCTGTTCTCTGCAGGACCTGGAGCCTGCGCATGCAAGACAACCCCCAGGCCAGAGAGGACGCCTGGGCAAGAGCGCTCTGAGACCAGGATGCCTCGGGAGGCCAGAGATCAGGGTCCTCGGGGCAGCAGGAGTCAGAGGACCATGGCCTGATCACGTGCTCGGCACCCACGGTCCTGCCCTGCCCTGCCCCACTGGCCCATTTTCCCGTCTCTTCTCAGCAAGGAAGGCACTGGAAGCCTCAGAGCCCTGGAGTGCATACCCTGAACTGGATATTACCAGGGAAAAGAGCCGCAGAAGTAGAAATCCCACAGTGAGGCCCAGGGACCACAGAATGCGCCCTAAATACAACAGGAGCCGGCGCTTAACTAACACGGAACCACCGGCTTCTCATATCCACACCCGGATAGTCCAAGCTGGCACCCTCACGGCTCAGATGCGGACACCCAGGCCCAGAGAAGTGAAGTCGGTTGCTTAAGGTCACACAGCCAGCCACAGTAGGACCCACGCTCAGGCACACTCCTCTCCCAGATGTCATGCTAAGCCAAGAGTTTAAATAACTTTAAGGCTCTGTGGTTGTTGAATGAACAAAGTCACTAAGTGGGTGCCAAAGATCATAATCGCCCATTCACACGGCGGGCGCCGTAGATTTGTGAAGATCCCTCCCAAGGGTGTCTCATTTGGTCCTCAGCACAGCCTTGTGGGCTTGCATTCGCTCTGCTTCACAGGTGGGCTACCTGAAGCGCAGGTTCATTTCTTCAAAACCGCAGAGTTTAAAAAAAAAAAAAAGAAAGAAAGAAAGAAAAAGAAAAGCTAAAGGTCTTTGCTCGTTAACGCTCTCTAAACCTAGCCCTCTTAACAATCGCCGCGCTCAGCTCTTATGGTAATGTCAGACCCATAGGAGACGCTCAATACATATTTGTTGAATAAATGAAAGAATGAATGAGGAGGCGAACGGAATCCGGCCAGGCGATGAATGGCAAAGACATTTAAAAAGCTGACGCAGTCTGCAAGCAGGAGATGGCTCAAACCATCCTCCTCGCCACCCCTCAGCCCTCCCGCGCCCGCAGCAGACCCCCTCCTCCCAGGTGCCCGAGACCCTCGCCACTGCGCGGGTCCCCGCGCCCCCGCCGGCTCGCGGCTGAGCGAGGCGAGCGAGCCGGCGGGACCCGGGAGGCCGCCATTGAGAGGGTCGTGGGAGGAGCCCCGAGAGAACCGGGTTGGGGGCGGGGGATGACGGCGGCGAGAGCCCCGGCGGGGCGGGGCGGGCCCGCACGTCCCGGCCGGGCTGCGGCGGTGCGAGCCGGGCCAGCGCTGCGGAAGGCGGCGGCTGGCTCGCCGGGACGGTCACATCCCGCTGCAGGGGCTGGCGGGGGCAGCCGCACTGCCTCGCGCCGGGGGACCCAGGCCCGCGGCCAGGCCGCTCCGGCAACGCCCCCTGCTCCCTGGCAGGCTGCGCGACCAGTCTGAGCTTGAGGTGGGGGGGCTCCCCAGACCCGCGCCCGTGCCCGCGCCGCCTCTGCCCCCTCCGCAGCTCGGCCCCGCGCTGCCCGCCTCGCCGGGCCGGCGCCGGGATGGGGTAGGGGCAGCGCCGGAGTCGGGCGATGGGCCCCGCTCTGGGCACCGAGCAGCCCCTCGAGGCCTGACCGACCGCGAGGACCCGCGGAGGTGGGTGTGGGCAGGGCGGACCGCGCGCGGGGGGCGCAGGGCTAATACGGGGGCGGGGGAGGAGCTGGGGGAACGCGGGAGAGCGGCTGCGGGCCCCAGGCGCCCGGGACGGCGGCTTGCCCACCGTACATTCTGGGCAGCCCTTGACCTCCCACAACTCCTGCTGCCGCCAGGACCCCGCCTGGAATGTCAAGCGGATACCCTCGTGCCCCGCAGCGGACGCGGTGGGGACCATGGCTTCGCTGATGCCCCTCTCCCCATATCTAAGCCCCACGGTCCTCTTGCTGGTCAGCTGCGACCTGGGCTTTGTGAGAGCGGGTGAGTAAAGAGGTCGGAGCGGGGTGGGGGCCGACCGGAGAGGGCCTGTGGGGGAAACCTGTTAGCCTGCTCACACCCTGGCACCCGCAGATCGGCCGCCCTCTCCTGTGAATGTGACTGTCACTCACCTCAGAGCCAACTCAGCCACCGTGTCCTGGGACGTCCCAGAAGGCAACATCGTCATTGGCTACTCCATTTCCCAGCAAGTACGACCCACCCTCCCACCGCCCCAACCCGTGTCCTTGGCTCTCTGGACTTCCTCGGAACTCCCCGGGCAGAGGTGGGAAGCCGGGAGGGAGGCTAGCGTTTCCCAGCTCCAGCGGCCCTTTCCATCCTCCCCCCCTTGGAGTTCTTGGATGCTCTGGGTGAGCCCTGTGGCGCGGGCCTGGAATGAGGCCGTGCCCTCGTCTCCCTGCAGCGGCAGAACGGCCCCGGGCAGCGTGTGATCAGAGAGGTGAACACGACCACACGGGCTTGTGCGCTCTGGGGCCTGGCTGAGGACAGTGACTACACGGTGCAGGTCAGGAGCATCGGCCTCCGAGGAGAGAGCCCTCCAGGGCCCCGGGTGCACTTCCGAACTCTCAAGGGTTCTGACCGACTACCCTCCAACAGCTCCAGCCCAGGTGAGGAGGATCGGAGCTACTGGACGCCCTGGCTTTAGCTACTGGGCTTCAATGAATAGCAGGATGATTTAATTCCTTGTACTGCCAGGAAAGGAAGCGAAAGCAGGTGGGCAGCGGCTGGGTAGAGCCAGGCCATAAGGAATCATTTAGGGGATGGGCTTTTCAGCCTCTTTTCACCCAACCTCATTTCTTAGCATCACGTGCAGCCTTCCTGAGCAAGTACCTGACCTGTAGCCCTTCTGCCTTTTTGTTTTTCGCCACCTGTCCACCAATGGTGTCCTCCAGGGGGGAGCTGCCCTACAGCAAGTTCAGGGGCAACCCAAGGGGTCTAGTCTAACTCCGCCCCCTCCCCCAGATGCTCCATCGCTAGCTGGCTCCCAGTCACCCGGAGTCTGTCTCTCCTCCTTTGTCAGGTGACATCACGGTGGAGGGCCTGGACGGAGAGCGGCCGCTGCAGACGGGGGAGGTGGTCATCATCGTGGTGGTGTTGCTCATGTGGGCTGGTGAGTAAGCAGCTGGGTGGGGGGCCCAGGGACTTAGAGAGTGAGACTCAGTGCGGGCAGGCAGGAGGTGACCAAGGGTGTCAGGAGAGCAGGGGGGAGACGCTTACTGGAGGGCGGCTGATCGGGAGAAGTTTGAAGAGAATGAGAGGAGGCTGTTGGAGCCCAGAGAGGAAGATCGCCTGGGCACCAGGACTTCAAGGAGTTTCTCCTTGCACCGTCTATAAGCTGTGTGGGTACGGTGCTACCCTTCAAGGCTGAGACTGTATTGTTGTGTTTCAGCTGTAATTGGGCTGTTCTGCCGTCAGTATGACATCATCAAGGACAACGACTCCAACAACAACCCCAAGGAGAAGGGGAAGGGGCCAGAACACAGTCCTCAGGGAAGGCCAGTGGGGACGAGACAGGTGATGTGGGGGCCAGTGAGGGTGGCAAGGGTGACTTTACCCCAGAGGAGCAGCCAGGGGAAGGCAGGGGGCAAAAAGGGGCAGGACAGGCAGGAGAATGGACGGTCCGGGGGTGGGGAGGCCGGCGAGCACGGGGGGCGCCCGCTACATTCCGGAAATTAGAGACCCAGGCCATTTTCTTTCACAGAAAAAGTCACCATCCATCAACACCATCGACGTTTGAGTGACGAAACAGAACTCGAAGACAGCTGCGCTAAGGACCTGGGGATGGGGCTGGGGTCAGGCTCAGGGACAGCCTACGACGGTGATCTGCCCAAGTCTCCCAGAGGGTGATGGCGCTCCCACACTCTCAGGCTGGTACCCATCCTCTTTCCACTGTGAGGAGGGCCCGAAGGTAGGTCTGTTAGAGCCTGCACCCCTGGACCTGGAGAGCGGCTGTGAGATGGGATAGCTCCTCCCATCCCGCAGGGCCAGGGGAGCGTGACCTGTTCAACACTACCCCATTCGGTCCCAAAGAGGGGCCCCATTTCACCTGCATCAGGACTCTCGGCACCCCCAGCTGCTCTCACGTCTTGCCTCTGGGCCTCAGAGAGGGGCGCTGCAGCGGGCCCTCCTCCTCTCCCAGCAGACAGAAGGCGTCGTCCGGGCCTAGAGGCAGATGCTGTACTGCACTACTCTAATGTCTTCCACGGAGCCTCAGGTGCTCCCCCGCTCACCGGCAGCCCCTGCAGCTGCTGGTGATCTCGCCCCTTGGACATTTTTCCAATAAAGGTTCTTGGACAAACTGGAACTGACTGTATGGTATACTGTACAGTGTGCTGAAGACGTGGCCCCGCCTTGTCCCTCTCCTGGCTCTCCGGGGGGGCCCTCAGATCACCTCCAACTCGAGAGGCGCAGACTCACTGGCAGGTGCTCGCTTCTGTTCTCTAGCCTGGAATGGTGGACAGGGATGACCCAGAAGAAAGGGTGTAGGATGCTAAGGCCTAATTTCTTTTGCTTTGTTTGGTGAGAAGGAGGGAAAGGAGAAAAGACGTGAGCGCTCCCAGCACCGGTGGAGACTAAGCCCTATCACGCGAGAGGGCCGCCAGCCTTTCCGTCTTTACTGCTGACACTGGCAGCCAGCTCTGCACCATTTCATGTTCGGATTCCTTCATTACCACGGGGCTAACGGTCCACACAGGACTGAGCACTGGGGACCGACAGAAGTGGATCCCTCTGTGCCACCTGCTCCTGTCCTGTGTGTTCCTGTGGCTGCATTCTTGCCTTTGCTCTCCCTTTCATTTTTGTCTCTGTTCAGCAGGTCCAAGTGAATAACAACTGTTGAGCAAAAATGAGTTTGTATTCACGCTTAGCCACCATGACCTGAGGGTGATTCTGGAAATAAAACTAAGGGATTGTGTCTCCCCTGTCAAAAGCATTATAATATGGGCTCTGAGGCCTACTTGTGTCCTGTGGAAAAAGGGGGCTATTCCCCGTGCTTTCCTTACTTGCAATGGGGAGTTGGTGGCAGTGAAAGAAATACCTACTGACATTCTCAACCCCAGCGGGGGAAAGACACAGAGTCTAAATGGAGAGCATATGAGACACTTTCTGGAGGGTTATGGGTCATTCCCAACGGCGATTATGAAGAACTCCTTTTGAGCTTTTTGATCTCTCTGCTATGCTACAAGAAATTAGAACAGAAAGTCTCAAAGGGACCCTAACCCAAACAAAGATCAAGAAGTCACTATCTTTAACTAACCACGCTGCCAGCCCAGGTATCACAAGGCTTAGCCAGAACCTCTCAGGTGTGCCAAGCTTTGGTCTGCCCTGCCCCCTGAACCCTAAAAGCAACCTGCTCTAAGCAGCAGTCTCACCTACCCATCCGGGGCATTTTGTCTTTCCCTGGTCAAGAGTTCCATAACACTCACATCTCAAACTCTGGAATCACCCTCATTTCTTGGGACAAGAGTGTCAGGGGGAATATACAGAAGCAAAACGCGGTGATAACGAGCTAGGAGTTGGGAAGGAATGGAATCACTGGGTTGAAATCAGCTCTGGGTTGAATCCTAGTTCCATCCGGTACTGACTGCGTTAGTTTGGGCAAGCGACCCCTCTAATCTCAAGTCTCCCGGTTGGTAAAATGTGGCTAATAATAATGCTATCCCCTTCAAAAGGTGGTTTTGAGATTAAGTGACAACACGCGCGTACACTTTGCACATACTGAATATTCACTGTTAGCTATCGGTATTAGTCCCGTGATCCTGTGCAAGCTGCATAGCCTATTTGGGTCCCTTTCGGTCGATTGCAAGAGGGCTATCACAGCAGCCGCGCTGCTCTCCCCAGAAGTTGTAAGGATTCAAAGAGAATGCACTCAGTCACGTACAAGCACTCAAAGAGCGAGAAAGCCTACATTACGATTACGATTACGTAGGACCCGGAGTTTGCCGAAGCCCGTGGGCGGGGCTTGGGCTTGGGTTTGCAGACAGCGACGGGATTGGTCAGGAGAGGATTCCACCCTCTCGAGGGCCCGCCCTCGCTTTCATCGCGCTTGCGCACGTTCTGTTTTCTTCGGCGCGCACCTACGTGTGACCCTGCGACGTGTGTTGCGCTCGGGTCGCGTAAGCGTCCGCGGCTGTCGCTGCTGCTGCGTGACGGGTTGTCCAGGTAACCACGGGAGTTGTCGCTGTCGGGTAGCAGCTGAGAGACAGGTGTGCGCCATGCAGTTGAAGCACCTGAGGACCCTGCTGAGCCCTCAGGTGAGGAGTTGCGTGTCTCTCCCCTCCCCCGCCCGCCCTACGTTCCCAGAACAGTAAGGGAACTGCAGTTTAATGATGTTGGGCGCCTACTGTGTGCAGAGCGCAAAGTTTGCGGCGGCAATCCGACTCTGCCCGGTTGATCCGGCGTGGAGTAGGCGAGGTGGACCGCTAGCCATTGTGGTTTTCATTACATTCCATAAATGCCGGTGGTGTGCCAGGCCCCGTGCTGAACCTTTGGTTCTGACGGTGAAGCCGGAGCTCGTCGGATTCGGAAGAGGCCGGGCACCGGGGGAGGAGTCCCGAAACGGTTTCGTCCCAGCTCCGCTACCCTTTAACCAAGTATCCTGCTGTCTGACCGTAGTCCTTGTCACACAGCGTCCCTCTCCGAACACTCACTGGCTTCTCCGTTTTGAAAACCAGAGTACCGATAATAGCAACTCAAGGGGTTTCGGGGGAGAGTTAACTACAAACGCCAAAGAGCATTGTAAACTGAAAAGCAATGTGAAAATGGTTTGACCAAGCTGAAACCACAGGATAATATAAAGCTGGTAAGAATATCTTCATTATTGAGTGCTTAGTATATCCCAGGCAGCATAGCTGAAAGGCAGGATTGTGGTTTATAGAGTCAGCTGTACCCGGATTTAGCTGCGAACCATGACCATCTCCCATGTGTGGTGGGAGTTGTAAACTTGGGGAAAGTCCTTCTTTTCTGTGCCTCACCTTCCCCACCTGGAAAGGGGGAATAGCAGTAGCATCTACGCCAGAATTATGAACTAAAATGGGATACTGCATGTCAGACACCAGCAGGCCTAGTCTATTCCCTGCCTCATTGGATTCTGTGACTGTCCTATGAGGTATATATTGTGAGAAAGGAAAATTAATTAATTGTTGGCATCAAGAATGCTTCCCAGAAGTGGCATTTGACGCCCTGGGAAGCAGCAGGTGGTGGATCAAGTACTTGGGTCCTTGCCACCACCATGGAAGACCTGGATTGAGTTCCGGGGTCTCCTTTCCTGGCCCAGCCCTAGCTGTTGTAAGCATTTAGGGAGTGAGCCAGTGGTGGAATATTTCTGTCTGCCTCTATCTCTGCCTTTTTTTAGTGAATACTTTTTTTTTTAAGTTTGTGGAAATGGAATTTAAAAAGTCTCTTTTTTCAAAATGCATTCATAATAGAAGGAAATTAGAACAAGAGAGCACTGTTCTCATTGCTCAGTGAGCTGCCCTCTGAATCTGTAATTTAAAATTCCTTTACCTTAATGGAAAAATAGGAAATGAAATCCTTCAGTCTCTGAAAATTAGATGATGTCATGGTGCAAGTACGGCCAAGGCCCAGGATTGGGCACAGCCATGAGGCGGGATAATTAGCAAAGCTCTGGGGAGGAGCTCTCAGTCCTTCCAGCCTCAAGTAATGAAGACTGGAAAGAGAATGGCCGTGGTGCGGCTGCTTTCTGGCTTGGTTTTGTTTTGTTGTGTTGTGAAAGGGAACCTTTTTCCTTCTGATTTTGGGGGTAGATGGCTTAAGAGTGAAAGGTGATGAAGTCAGAGCTCTAGAGCGCGAGGAATTAAACAACTGGAACAGAAGCTAAATGTGTTTTGTTTCATGGAGGCAAGTCCTTAGTGGCAGAACCACAGGGAAGCAGAGCTGGTGGTGGAAGGGACAGATGCTGAGAATAACCCACCAGATGATCACTTCCAGCTTGGATCCCCGTGAAGTGGAGAGTTAAGGAGAGGACGAATAGCATTTTTCATCCTAAGTTGCAACTCTAATTATCTTGTACCCATTCTATACCTTTCACTGTCTCTTCCTCTTTGCCACTTTAGCCCCAAACTCCTTAGCTTCACTTCAGAGGTTTTTCTTGAACTGGCCCAGTCTGTTTTTCCTGCTTTACCTCCTCTATTTTTATTTATTTATTTGAAAGGTATAGTTACAGAGAGAAGGGGAGAAGAAGATCTTCCATCTGTTGGTTCACTCCCCAAATTATCATAATGACCAGGGCTCAGCCAAGCTGAAATCAGGAGCCTGGAACCCCATCCAGGTCTCCCACATGGGGGCCCAAGCACTTGGTCCATCTTCTACTGCCTTCCCAGGTGCATTAGCAGGGAGCTGGATGGGAAGAGGAGCAGCTGGGACTCCAACCAGCACTCATATGGCGTGCTGGCATCACAGGCCATAGCCTACTCTGCTGTGCCACAATGCCAGCCCCCCTATTCTATGTACATGGTAGTTTCAGCTAGCCTAAGTTACTCTTCCTTGACCAGAACTTGCCTTTGCTTATGTTATTCATTGTAATTTCCTACTCAACAGTATCCATTCTTCAAATCCTAATTTTGATCATGTAAGTATAAAATTATCTTGGGCTTCTCCAAATGAAACTGTATAACACACTTCTTTTATGGGACTCTTCTTACTTTGTACCAGCTTAATAACTCCTAGGGATAAGTTGCACTCTGTGTCTCTCTCCAAGAGCCTTTCTCAGTAGAGTACTCAAAATATATCAATTGAATGCGTAGCTGAAGACCTACACTTGGGGTCCACACTGTGATGTAGCAGGTAAAGTTGCTGCCCGCTGGCACTGGCATCTCATGTGGGTGCCGGTTTGAGTCCTGGCTGCTCCACCTCTGATCCAGCTCTTTGCTGTTGGCCTGGGAAAACAGTATAGGGTGGCCCAAGTGCTTGGGTCCCTGCACCCATGTGGGTGACCCAGAGGAAGCTCCTGGCTCCAGGCTTCATATCGGCCTGGCCCCGCTCTGGCTGTTGCAGGCATTTGACGAGTGAACCAGCAGATGGAAGATATTTCTCTCTCTCTCTCTCTAACTCTGCCTTTCAAATAAATAAAGCATGAAAAAAAAAAAAAAAGGAGAAAGCTTGTCAGACTGCTTGAATTTATTCCAGTAGCAGATCTGGGATACAAGGGAGCAAAGAGCCCATTACACTGACACATTGGTGCAGTTTATTTGGCACTTTGCCTCTTAGTGCATTTGCATTGTGGGTGTCTAGAAACACATTGTTCTCCCAGTCTTGGGTCTGATAGCCTTGGAGTCCAGGATGAAC